TATTGCGACCTCTTGATTTTGTAGCTCACTCTTCATTTGAATAACAACCTCTTCTAACATTATTTCCTTCTCCTCATCCTGTGGGTTGGAGTTAAATTGAGGAGTATTTTTAATTGAGTTAATAATATGTCGTAGTTGATTTTACATTATCCTTATTGCGGTCCCTTGACACTCCAACTCACTCTCCATTTGGATAACAACCTCTTATAGTAAATGCTTCTCCTCATTCTGGGGGTTGAAGTCAAAAGTATGAAGAAAAGAAAGTCCATCATTATAATAGCCATTATTATTCTAACTACATGCCCCATTAAATTGATTATCTTCCCAAAATCGGTCTTCTCGTCCAAAATTGTTATTCCTGTTAAAATACAAATGATTTTCCCGACCTGGATTGTATAAATTGGAATAAGAATTATGTATCTCATGGCTAGTTTTATTCCATCATCCAAATAAATTTTTCTCAGTAATTGGGGTTCCTTGTGGATATCTTTTTATGTATTGATCTAACTTCCTTTTAATATCTAGAACCTGAATTAAAATTGTAAGAATATCTTCTTGAAAATTTGTTACTCTCTTGGGGTTTACTCTTTCAAAGCTACTAGCATTATAATCCAAATATGAATATTCATTATTTTTATCGTTGATCCGTCATTTCAACATTAAATTCAAGGCGTCTTTTCAAATCTCTCCCAAAAGTTCTCTCCAAATCCGACTTGTAAAATTCAAGATATGCAGTTTTTAAACTCCGCATACAAATCTAAAGACTTAACTAATAGGACAAATATCAAAAACATTTTTGATTTTTTGGTTTTTATTTAAAATAAACACACAATAACTAAACACACTATATTATAATATCATAAATTTCAAATCCAAGTCTTATAGGTTTAACTAAAATTCACCAAAAGTTCTTATCGAAGCGTCCCCGACAACGACGTCAAAAACTTGATGTGTCCCTAGAGTGTGCTAATTTTCTGCAAGTTTTATGTCAATTTAAATCACCAGTACAGTGCCAAAAGCTTGACCCATCCCGAAATTACGCAGAAATTTAGTTTTAAAAAATATGGCTAAAATTGAAATGTTATATTAAGTAAAATTGAAATGTTATATTTAGTTTTCAAAAATATAACTACCCAATTTATATTATGTAGTTAATGTGCAAAATTGAAATATTATGTAAAATATATAAAATAGTTCACACACTAGTGGTTCTACGCAAGTGCACATATCGCTTCAAGTAATAAAGAGATTTCTTTAAAAATCCCAGTATCGATCCTACAGAGAAGCGTAGTAAGAAATCCTTCATGTTAATTCTAGCATACTACTATGAAGTCTTAATTTAGAAGACGGGAACTCTTATGATAATAGCATAAATCACCATATTCAAACTATAAAAATTAATGTAAGAAAGACAAATTAAAATGGGTTTGATGAATGCTGATGAAAATATAACTAAAAGAACTAAGTTTACTAAACATTAAAATTAAATTTACTAAGACAAAATAAAATTTTGTGATGAAGAGTTCAAATTTAAGAAAGTCTCCTTTCCTTTTACAATCAGTATATGGATTGTGAAGAAATTAAAATCATTTAAAATATATAAAAAATATTTTGTGCCAAATAGGAGCAATCCTATTCTTTACTCTCTTCCGAGTGCTTAAAGAACATTGACTAATCCAGAGTTTGGTCCCTAATTCCATGGCTAGGCTGGGAAGATACCGGCAACCACTTCAGAGCTCCCACTACTCCCTTACCTAAGGGTTAATAATCTCGCATCAGTTTTCAATCAACTGGACCAAATTAGGGATTTTAATCTGTCATCTTAAAATCTCCAATTCTTCATCCAACAAAGTATATTTCTCTATTTATTTGCACTCAATTCCATGGATGACATACTCTCCCATGAAATCAAACGTGATTCTCCCCATGTTGTAGAAATCATAGCCATTTCAGAACATAGGTTTCTCAACACATTTTAACATTTCAATTGATCAGATCAGAAAGTAAATGAAAATCAGAGTTCAAATCATTACAAATTATTGACATTTAAAAGGGTACAAAACAAAATCAATTTTTCACAAAATCATTTCTCAAAGTAGCGAGAATGATAAAAAAGACTACTCAGAATTCATGAGAAGGATACAAAAACACACAAATTTCATATATTAAAACAAGTTTACAAAATAAATAAGGAAAAGAACACAACTTATCTCACAATCTTTCTCAAAAAAATCCCTAGAAATTCTCTTCAAGCACTTTCCCTTTTTACAAGTACTCTCAACTCTCTCCTAGAAATGTAATATGTAATGAAGAAGAGAAATCTGTCACCTTCCTTCTCCTCTTACAATCCTTGAAGAAAATCTCGAAGCTCTTCCTCTCACTCTCACGCCACACACTCTCACACATACACACAAAACTCACGTCCACACAACTCCTCCAAAAACACTCTT